GTGCTTAACTTTCAGCCGGTGTGCCAAGTGAGGCCCATGGAGCCACAGGTATCTGGGCCACGAGACTCCCCACGGATCAGGAAATTTGGCAGCAGTGGAGCGATGGCAATAAATCTGGCCACCTTCCCCTGCTACCAAATTCCCAAACTCCAAGCCCTGTACAGCCGGCTGGGGCCAGGTCATGCCACCCCCCCACCCTACCCCCCATGGTTGAATGAGGTTGGGCTATGCCCCCTCCCCCACACCCCTGGCTGGCTGGGTCTGGGCTACGCCCCTTTTCCCACTGAGGCTGGGATGGGGCCAACTCAAGCCCCCCAAGGTAGGCCATGCCCCCTTTTCCCCCTGCAGGGTGGGCCATGCCCCCTCCCTCCCCACGGGGCCAGGTTGGAGCTGGGATTCCCTTGTCCCCCACTGTATGGCTGGACGGTGCCCTGCTGCAACTGCCCTGTGCCAGATTGGGACTACCAGCAGGATCCATTTGGCCAGTCAGCCAAAAAGGTTGAGCACCACTGTCCTATACCATGATTGTAAAAACAAGTACTCAGTTCCCCAATCTTTCCGTGTATACTGACATTATTTAAAAATGGACTTGTTGACATCCAATTAAAACAGGAAGTGCCTTTCCTGCTCCAGGGGATTTCTCTGCTCAGACTCCCTGTACAATGCCTCCTTCATCCTGTAGTCAAGAATGCCTCTGTATGCCTTCCCACTCCACACGTCTGATCTAAAAGGTATTCTACAAGGTGAAACAGGACTTGGTTTAGATGATCCTATTACCCCACTCCCATGTGGCTGAGGCAATTTTGGTACCAAGACCTTCTGCTGAAGTACATGAGGAACTTCAGGGTTCTGCTCCTTATTTCAAACTTCTTTATCCATGATACAGAGAGTGCTTTACACAGATTCATACTCCCTTCTTCTCACAGACCAGAGACTTGATGGGTCTTGGAAATCAGGTGGAGCTGCTCTTCCCAACTAAGCAACATCTTTGCTCATACAGGAGTTTTCTACATGTACTTACTGGGCAAAGTGGTGCAGGTTTTCTAGCTGACGTCAGGTAAAAAGCCTTCGCTCTAACCAGTCTTTGTTCCAAATATAGTGCATCTTCAGGAGCTTAAGCCTGTAGACGTATCCATCAGCTCAATCGAGGTACACAAGGCAGCTATCCTAAACCACTGTCTTCTGAATGAGCACTGGCATATTTTATTACTTGGCAGAGTTAAGATTTGGCAGTGCCTGGGCAAGGTCTTCCCTCCAGTGAGACACCCTGAATGACCCATGTTCAGCTTGCAAGAAACACCGTGGTCCAGATTCAGCCCAGGGTGCAAGGCAAGTTTGACACCTCTGTTCTACACAATTACAGAAATCTCATGGGCAGGTGCTGCATTTGGTAAAGTGGATTTTTGGTTATTTGCCTATGGCACTCCAAAACCTGCCTCTGCCTATGTGTGCCTTTGTTTTAAAATCACCCACAGTCAGTGTCCTTATGGACAGTATCTTGAATGGGAAAGAAAAGTTGATTACCAGTAACTGGAGTTCTTTAAAATACATATATAGATATGCAGATCTATATCCTGCTCTCTCCTCCAGATCATGGGCAGTACATGACTGCTGTGAGAGAAGCAGGAAATGCTCTCTGCCCTTTGTTCCCTCAGCACAGGACATAAATAGAGACAGGGATACAATGTACCCTATGTGTACTGCTAAAGTAACAAGTCTGAGTGTTTGAAGTATATGTGCACTTCACAACGAGGAAGTATGTTGGCTCTGGTGCTCCTTATCTGCCTTGCAGTGCTTTTAATTCACTGTTGTGCTAATAGAAGCCACCGTGCCTCCTTACTCCGGAAGTTTCAGGCTGCAATTTTGATGAAGCTGTCTGCCATGTGTTTTTATAGATCGAATGCCTCAGGAGGTGTTCAGTCCTGTCACAGCCCCCTTTAACTCCCTGGATTTGGAAATCGGTACATCCCTTTTTGGTGTCAGATTCTGGGGCTACACCTACCCTCACGCCCCAGCCCTACGCCACCTTGATGTTAAGTGTCTTGTTCAGTACGTAGCTTGTCTAAGCAGTCAATCTCGACTACAGCTTCAATGTCTTGTTCAGCA